GATCTCAGCATAGCGACCCTCAAAGGGAGGGGGGGGGGATCTACCAGGCTCATGAACAGCTGATCAGGGAGGCTCACAGAGAGCCTCAAAAACCCTGAAATAATTGCAAATAAAAATACTGGGGAGCAGAGTGCGCAGTATAACTCCTTTTCCATGCTCAACCTAAATATTCACGTCCTGGGCTGAGAGGATGAGGAGGCTCAAAAGAGGCTCAAACAAGAGCCTAACAACTCAAAAACTTGCCATTACACCAAGTCAGGAGCCTCCTTCACCAATAATGTAGATATCTCACATTATACACAGTTCCTATTCTGTAAAATAAAATAAACCCAAAAAGGAATTCTGAAAGAGAAAGCACTCCTCGTCAGATTCCTTCCATGCCCCGCCTACAACCCCCGTGATCGGTCTGATTAACTGCCTCAGCAGTCGTGAGACCCGAAACGCGGGTGAGAGGCGCTCAATTCTCAAAGAGAATCAGGCATAGAGGCATTCTCAACGTGATCACATCTCGCAGCGTGGCTAATCTCTGTCGAGAGCCAAACACACTCTGTTCAAACACTAAATTCTCTCAAGAATAAGGCAAGAACAGAACCGCCGTGAATGCATCGCATTAAGCTTGTTCAACTCCCTTGAGAGGCGAACGTGCTCGTGCAAACGCTGACAAAAAACTAGAGTACAGACCTCTGCTCTAGTAGTTCCGCGAATGCAAACAGTGAGCGCATCCTTACCCCCGTGAGTCAAACGCATGTGCTTCCGTACACAAGGCTTGAAGACAAAGAAGAGGATGACGTTTTCCGCAGGTGCTCTTTTATACCCGCATTCGCGTTATTGTTTACGCCATAGGCTGCCGCCTGCCAATGTCAAATTCATTGTCGTTTTTTCATTTCATGCTTCAGACACCGGTCACGCTGAAGGCGTTCCCCTAGCGCCCTCTAGAGGACGCAGCGCTGAGTTCCCTTTCGAAAGGGAACATGGTATTAAATGTGGTATTTTGTCAGATGGAACAGCATTTACTACACAGAGCCATAGTTCACTGACAAGCTGTGCAAAACAGCTGTCATAATCGCAGACCAATTTCTTTGATTTCATAATTGCGCAATTAAATCGGTCTGTGATTATGAAAGCGGTTTTGCGCAGCTTGTCAGTGAACTTGTCATGAAATGCTGCTCCATCTGAAAGCATTTGAGTTGCTTATAACGTGCATTTGAAAAAGCAACACGCATCAAACATCTTTCCAAACATGCAAAGCATTTATGAACCTCTTGGCCAACAAAATACCAAATTTAATAACATGTTTTACTCCAAACTCACTTAGCATTGCATTATAAATGTTGCATTGTACTATAAATAGACCAACGTGCATTACCTTTCTTCTGCGGGGCATATTTGGAGTTTCAGCGCAAGAGCGCCCTCTGGCCTTCGAATGGAGATTCACTACTGATCACAGAACCATGCTTCACTGACAAACTGTGCATGAAAATCACATTTGATTAATCGTGCAGTCCTACTTTTCATATTCTTTATCCTGGCTGAAGCACCTTTGTTTCAATCTATAAGAATAATCAGCCGATGTTATAGTTTAAAGTTAAAGATATTAATATTATTGTACGGTCTGTTTTGGGTTTTGTTTCATGTTCTTGTTTTCATGTCTTTTATTTTGTAATTTGATTTATGATGTTAGTGTCATGCTTCCCTTGCCCTTATGCATTTCTGCCCTGTGTGTGTCATGTTGTGATTGGTTGTTCAAGTCATGTGTCTTGTTCCTCATTGGTTATTGTCCTGTCATGTGGTTCTCAGTTCTGTTTGCTCATTGGTTGATTCTTGTCATGTGAGTGTTTGCTATAAGTAGCCCTCTTATTGTCATTGTCTCTCATCATGTATTGATGTTGTAGCCTGCTGTTGGAGAGTTGTTTTTCTGTTCACGGTCAAGTCCGTTCATGCCATGTCAAGTCAAGTTTGTTTCAAGTCAAGTCAAGTCTTTGTTTGGATTTCACATTGTAAATAAACTGCACTTGGGTTCATCATCACAACTCGACTTCAGTGGACTGATCATTACAATTATTAAGGTGAGCCTGAGAGTCTTATATTTATTTGACAGTGATTTCACATTTCTTGTTTGTATGAAGGCTTAAAATGAAAATTAAGAAATATATTGTGATATAAATAGGGCTGGGTATCGAGTTTGATACTTTTTAGGCACTGACCGAATTGCCTCGATACTATCGAGTATCGAAAAACGTCTCGTCGTTCGTACCAAATTTCGACACCTAAGGGTTAATCTCATCAATGTCAGTGAGGCGCAGATCGATCAGTGTTTGACATCCGCGAGAGCGATGCGAAAACGTACGGAGAAGTCTGCTTGTGGTATCTTACTATAGCCTAATACACTGATAGGTCTGCACAGTCGGTCCGTGACTGTGACACTCAGAGATGTGGCTCACACGTGAGGATTTAGTGTGAATGCGTCCCAGCCCCCGTAGCTGTAAGGCTACATTTACACTGGTGCGCTTACTAGACCCTATCCCCTCACACCTCCTCCAAGCAATCTCTCCTACACTCTTACGAGCACTCACACACATCATCAACACATCTCTCCTCACAAGCACTTTCCCCACTGCATTCAAGCAGCCTTGGGTAACCCCAATGCTAAAAAAAACCTTAATTAAACACTTCACTTATAGATAGCTACAGACCTATCGCTCTCATTCCATTCATAGCAAAAACACTTGAAATAGTTGTTTTTTAACCAGGTATAATTTCTTTCACAGACCAACCAACTGGATGCTAACCAGTCAGGTTTTAGGAGTGGCCATTCAACTGAGACTGCGTTACTGTCAGTCACTGAAGCCTTGCAGATTGCAAAAGCTGATTCCAAATCATTAGTTCTTATTCTGCTGGATCTATCTGCCGCTTTTGACACCGAGTCATCAGAACCTCCTGTCCACCCTCTCATCACTGGGCATCACAGAGATTCCACTTTGCTGGTTTGAATCCTATCTCACTGGTAGGTCTTTCTGGGTGGCCTGGGGAGGGGAGGTATCCAAACTGCATCAACTGGTCACTGGGGTTCCTCAGGGATCAGTTCTTGGACCCCTCCTCTTCTCCATATACACTACATCACTGGGACCCATCAGACAGGCACATGGCTTCTCCTAACATTGCTATGCTGATGACACTCTATCTTTCATTTCAACCAGATGATCCAAGAGTAGCTGCATGGATCTCAGGCTGCCTGGTGGACATGTCAGCATGGATGAACGAACATCACCTACAGCTCAATCTGGCAAAGACTGAGCTCCTTGTCTTCCCTGCCACTCCACCTCTACAGCATAATTTCACCATCCAGTTAGGTTAATCAACAATTACCCCATCAAGTTCGGTCAGAAATCTTGGTGTAATCTTTGATGACCAGCTGACTTTCAAAGACTACATTGCAACAATTGCTTGATCTTGCAGGTTTGCATTGCACAACATCAGAAAGATCAGGCCCTTCCTAACGGAGCATGCTGCACAACTTCTTGTCCAGGGCCTTGTCATCTCTAGGCTGGACTACTGCAATGCTCTTCTAGCTGGACTTCCATCATGCACAATAAAGCCTCTACAAATGATTCAGAATGCAGCGGCATGACTGGTCTTCAACGAGCCCAAAATAACCCACGACACACCTCTCTTTATTCTCCTGCACTGGCTGCCGGTCACAGCTCGCATCAAGTTCAAGACACTGATGCTTGCATATAGAACAGCCACAGGCTCAGCACCCGCCTACTTCCACTCACTTTTGAGAATCTACATCCCCTCCAGAAGTCTAGGATCTACGAGTGAGCGACACCTCGTGGTACCATCACAGAGAGGCACAAAATCACTTTCCAGAACATTTTCGTTCACCGTTCCTGGCTGGTAGAATTGTCTCCCAACCCCTATCCGGTATGCTGATTCCCTGACAATTTTCAAGCGACAGCTGAAAACTCACCTCTTTCGTCACTATCTGACTTCTTCCTAAAGAAAAAAAAAACCTTTCTCTTTTCTTTAATCTTTCCCTGTCTAGTTTGTAGACAGGGATGTATTTATTTGAACAATGCATGAAACTTGGTATTATGAGCACTTCCTGTGTCTATTTGCCTCTTTAAGATGATTCACTTGATATATTCCCCAATTGTAAGTCACTTTGGATAAAAGCGTCTGCTAAATGAATAAATGTAATGAGTTTTTATCACAACATTTTGAGAGCGGTTTTTGGAGAATTATGAGATTTAAGAATTGCAAGATGTTAACTGTTTATAAACAAGTTACAATGGTATACAATGTAATCAGACTGTGTGTTCAGAATTATGAATATGGGACTATTGAGATCAACTTTTTGTGTTTTTATATGTACAATAAGCAGAATAACTGCAACATAAAGGGGGAACAATTAAAGATAAGGTTAGAAAGCATGAAGCTTGCACTGTCAGAATGCCAGTCCTTCAGTCAAGTGCAAAGCAAGACGCAACCCACAGCAATGTGTTATAACAACAACGTCTCGGAGAGCCTGACAGCAGATAAAAGTAAATGATAAATATATGACTTTTAAGTGATTAGTTACTAAAGTGTGCATCAAATTTGCTAAACATGGAAGCTCAAACATGTGTGACACGCTAGAACAGCCCTCACTGGTTCTTGCGCATCATGTACATTTGAGCGTCGTCTTTTCCTTTTAATGGCAGTTGGCAAACCTACTGGAAGGTGCCACCACCTGCATGACATGCATGACGCAAAATAAGGACCAGGCTTAGGATAGATGCTCAATAAATAAAATGCTCAATTGGCCCCAGTCCCGATTCTTGAGATCGACTCGGGATGTCTCTAGATGATTCTAAACCAGTGCAATATTTCCTCAACAAAATAGTAACCACATAAACTGCTGAAAAGCAAAGTATAGTGACAAAACCATTGTTTACACCAAAATATATATATTTTTTGCACATTCATTTCAAAATGAGCTGGTTAATGTTTTGACTTACTGTTTGTGTGCTGAACCTCAGGAGTTCCCGTATGAAGGTCATTAAATTTATGCATTTCATTCTCCTCTTCTTCTCTTCTTTGTCTTTCCTGTTGTTTCTGTTTCTCCCATTCCTTTTGGTCTCTCTTCAGCTCATCTCGTATCTTTCTCTCTTGTTCCTCTATGTATTTAATATCTGTTTTATATTGTTCTTCAGCTTTTATATACTCATCTTCTCTTCTCTTTGTCTCTTTGTCATGATTTTGTCTTTCTTTCTCCATCATCTTCTTCATTCTTTTTCTATCTTCTTCATGTTTGATCTGAAGATCTTTTTTCTCTCTGTATCTTCTTTCTCTCTCTCGTTTAAGTTTCTGATAATATTCATCCCATGTTTCCTTTTCTATCTTTCTCCTTCTCTCATCCACTTCTTCTGTTCTATTTCTTTCTTTTTCATGATTCCGTCTCTCTTCATCCACCATCATCTTCATTCTCTCGTTCTCTTCTTTGTATTTGGACAGAATAACTTCTTTCTCACTTTCCATTCTCTCTTCTACCTCTTTAAGTCTCTGATTACATTCATCCCATGTTGCCTGCTCTTTCTTTCTCCATTTATCCTCCTCTTCTTCTCTTCTTTGTCTTTCCTGTTGTTTCTGATTCTCTGATTCCTCTCGTTCTCTCTTCAGCTCCTCTCGTATCTTTCTCTCTTGTTCCTCTCTTTCTTTGATGTCTCTTTTGTATCGTTCTTCTCTCTCAATAAATTCTTCTTCTCTTCTCTTTCTCTCTTTCTCATGATTCTGTCTTTTTTCCTCCATCTTCATCTTCATCTTCTTTTTCTCTTCTTCATGTTTGTTCATCAGTTTTTCTTTTTCTCTGACCACTTGCTCCACTTTCTCCATCAGTATGTTCTTCTGTTGTTCTTGTAATTCTCTTTCCATCTCTCTGAACATCTTACATGAGTAGTAACTCCCTCCGTTTGCTTTCACCATGTTGTCTATCTTCTGCAGCAGATCAGTCACCTGTGTTCGGTCTCCAGTCTCTTTATTATTGAACACATGGTATCTGTTTTCACACACATCAATCAGTTGCTTTAAAGCAGATCCAGATTTTCCCAGATACTGTTCAATAGTTTTGTCATTCAGATCATCCCCTCTGGTGAAGAGCACCATCGTGTACTTTAAAGAGTTTTCACCAAATGTCTCTTGGATGATATCCACTGATTTTTCCTCTTCTTGAGTGAATCGTTGTCCTAAATTGAGCACAATGATGAACACATGTGGTCCAGGCAGGATCATGGGGATGCAGTTGCTGATTTCTTTCTGGATTTCATCATTACTGAGTTCAGTATCAAACAGTCCTGGAGTGTCGATCACAGTAATGTGTCTGCCATTGATTTCAGCGTTCTCTCTAAAACACTCTTTAGTAATAGACTCATGAGCTGCTTCAGCTTCAAACATGACTCTTCCTAAGATGTTGTTTCCAGTTGAACTCTTCCCAACTCCAGTTTTTCCCAGCAGCACAATCCTCAGTTCATATTCTCTGTCTCTTGAATCTAAAGATAATCAAATGAAAATTAAAAACAATATTAAATTTCAAGTGAAGATTGTCAATTATCCAGTTCATCAGAGAATATTGTGTGTAATTTATACTAAAGCATCATGTGCTGATCATATTGTTTCTTCTGAACTCTGCATATAATGTTATTGTTTTCTATCGCAAATCTGTAGACTTTAGCAATCATGAATAGTGTTTGTTTAACCAATGCAATTTTTCTGATCATTACCTTGTGATTGAAACCACGTCTCTAAAGGATAGATTCTCCTTTTCATTTCTTCAAATTTCTGCAGTTTTTCCATCTGTGTCTCCATCAATGTCTCTGTGGAGAAACAATCACCACTATTTTCCTCAACCATCTGCTCCAGTTTCTCCATCAACACAGACACTTGTGTGTTCAGGTCAATGATATGATGTCGTCCTCCAAATCTCTCAATGACAGACTTTGTTTCTTCATTTAGTTCTGCTGTCTGATGCTCTGGATTTTGCTTTATGAGGATCATGATGTGTTTGTTGATTCTTGAGCTGAAGATCCTCTGGATCTCCTCTATTTCTGCTTCGTCTTCATCAGTCAGTGGAGCATCAGGAATGATGAGGATGAACACATGAACTCCAGGATGACAGAGAGACACACAGCGGTGAGTCTGACGCAGCACGTCCTCCTCTGAGAGCTGAGTGTTGAACAGAGCTGGAAGCTCCACCAGACTGATCAGACGTCCATCAAGCTCCACGTCTCTCCTCACACACTCTGAGCTCAGCTCTGATCTTCTCTCGCTCTGCTTCAGGATCAGCTTTGATGTGAAGGATTTTAATTCTCTGTTACTCCCACACACAAGCAGATTCAGCTTCACACCCTCTGGAATGGTGACAAAGGAATAAACTAGTTAAACAATGTGATTTTAAATTTGATCAATGCTGCATCTCATATCATGTTGGAATTATGGTAATCATCACTTCACTGGAATTTACTAGTTTCCCACTAGTAAAAGCCTTTCGTGTCTTTCATGCCTATTACTGTATCACACAAAGATTATTTATTCAGAGAAATAAATGAATCCACTCACCCAGTGTCTTGATCTTCTGCTGTAGCTCTTTGACTTCATTATCTCTCACTCTTAGTTTCTCCTCTAGTTCATGTCTGACTTTCTTCTCTGGAGCTTTTATGTGCATCTGAAGAGAATAGGGTTCAATCTTCATGCTGTCTATACGATCAAACAGATCTGAGATCTTTTCTGAGCTTCTCTGGTCCTTTAAACCCATCACACAGTACAAGCTGCCATAGAGACTCACAAAATCTATCATACTTTGGTCAAGTTCAGTAATGAAAAGCAACATGAAGTGCTCATTACAGTTAAATATTCCTTTAATCTTCTCCATTTCTGCTCTTTCGTCATTAGAAAGTGGACAGAAAGTACTAACAAGGATGAAAAGATGAACTCCAGGATCACAGAGAGACAGACAGTGGAAAGTCTCCCGCATCACTTCCTCCTCTGAGAGCCGAGTGAGAGCTGGAAGCTCTATTACACTGATCTGCCGTCCATGAATCGTTCCCTCTCTCTTCTGACACACTCTACTCATCTCTTTCTGAGATTTACTTGTTATCCCTCTAAACATTTTAGACACAGAGTTCTTGAGTGTTGGATTATTTCCACACAGCACAATGTTCAGCTTTGCTTTTCCTGTAGTCGTCACTGAAATCAAGATTCAGAGACAGTAGACTCAAATCAGTTTTGGTACCAAATGTACACTTCCTTAAACAACAACAAAAATATTACATTGTAAAATATAATTACATCACAATAAAAGTGAAAGTGACGTTACATGTGGCCAAGTATGGTGACCCATACTCAGAATTAGTGCTCTGCATTTATCTCATCCAAAGTCCACACACACACACAGCAGTGAACACGCACCCGGAGCAGTGGGCAGCCATTTGTGCTGCAGCACCCGGGGAGCAGTTGGGGGTTCGGTGCCTTCCTCAAGGGCACCTCAGTCGTGGTATTGAAGGTGGGAGAGAGCACTGTACATTCACTCCCTCCACCTACATTCCCTGCCGGTACTAGACTCGAACCCGCAACCTTCTCTCTATCCATTCTCTATCCATTAGGCCACGACTTCCCCCCCAATACATGCTTTTATCAACTGAAAGCTACCTTACAATAGTTTACTGACTTTCTTTTTGGGTTAATGCAACTGTAAAAAGAAAGTATGGATCTTTGGCAATACAAACAGATGGTGTGCACTCACACTATAGCCTCAAGAGGAATAGTGGAAAATTATATCATCATTGTGGGGGGGGGAGGGGCGAGAGCTGTGGGAATGAAGCGAGGCCGGTGGAGTAAATGATAATGAGCAACACCTGCACCATGCATCGGTCTCTAGTAGGGTGACCACTAGGGCTGCATGATTAATCGAAATTAAATCGCAAAGGCGATCTTTCAGTGAAGCATGGCTCTGTGATCAGCAATAATCCGAAGGCCAGAGTGCGCTCTTGCACTGAAACTCCAAATACGCCCTGCAGAAGAAATCCCTATAGTGGTTGCTGAATAAACAGAAGGTTTAACTGCTTTCATTAATTCAACGTATGACTAATAAACACAGGACTACAACAATATATAATTTATCTGAGTTCGTCTTATTATAATTTTATTATAATAAAGTATATAATAATGCAATGCTGATCGACATAGCCTTTATCACTGCTATCACTGACGTTATGAAGTGAGTTTGGAGTAAAAACATGTTATTAAATGTGGTATTTTCACGTGCTTTCAGATGGAGCTGCATTTACTACACAGAGTCGTAGTTCACTGACAAGCTACTCAAACAGCTTTCATAATCGCAGAACAATATCTTCGATTTCATAATCGCGCGATTATATCATCTGTGATTATGAACGCAATTTTGCGTTGCTTGTTAGTGAACTACGGCTCTGTGTAGTAAATGCCCCTCCATCTGAAAGCACGTGATGGAGATTTACTACTAATCACAGAACCGGCTTTACTGACAAGATGCACATGACAATCACATTCGATTAATCGTGCAGCCCTAGTGACCACCCGTCCCCCTTTGTGTTGTACCGCACAGCATTTTCACTCCTTGTCCCGCACGTCGCTTATTGAGAAAATGTCCCGCATTTTCATCAGACTGTTGGTTTTTAATTGTCATATTAAGAAAATGTACATATGTTCTTTTGCCTTTTTTTAAGAAAGCTTTTTATTTATTCTTTTTGTGGCGTAGCTTTCATGCAAAGGATGTGCGGACCTCACCAGTCTGCATTGGGGCAGTCGTGGCCTAATGGTTAGAGAGTCCGACTTGTAACCCAAAGGTTGTGGATTCAAGTCTCAGGGCCGGCAGCGATTGTAGGTGGGAGGAATCAATAACCAGTGTTCTCTTCCACCCTCAATACCACGACTGAGGTGAGACCCTTGAGAAAGGCACCAAATCCCCAACTGCTCCCTGGGCGCCACAGCATTAGCTGCCCACTGCTCTGGGTGTGTGTTCATGGTGTGTGTGCACTTGGATGGGTTAACAACAGTTTGATTACAATAGATTAATTTAGTCAAAATGTATTAGCATTTTTGGAAATTTTATTGTTAAATGTTAATGACTTCATATGAATGGTTTATTACGTTTGACCAATAGGTGGCGTAGTTACCAAATTGATGTGGCATGGTCAGTGTGAGGTGACAATGGCACATACAAAGTTTGGTGTCAATATGTCAAAGCTTTGCAGAGATACAGCCTCAGACGCAGTCTGGCATCATTCCAGCAAATTAGTTGATGTGTTAAACGATTTAATTTAAAGTCATTTCATATACCGACACAAAATCCATAACTTTTTGCCAGCATTGTCTGAAGATGATCTGAGTCAAATTTGGTGAAAGTTGGACAAACAATCAAGGAGAAGTTAAAAAAAAAGTAGGATTTCAACATAAATCAAAATAATTGATAGGAAGTTTGGCTGAATATGGCAAAATTGATATGCATGTTCTCTGCATGACCCAGGAAATTTTTTGAGACCAGGTTCATTACAATAGGTTAATTTAATTAAAACATTTTTGGAAATTATATTATAACTTTTGTCCACAAGGTAAAACTTTTTGAGTACTATCAGGCATGTCACTATCAGACACATACCGAGTTTCGTAACAATACGCTAATGCGTTAGTAAAATATAGCATTTTACGACAAAATTCAAAATGGACAATGCCCAAAATGGCTGATATGAGAAAATTCCATAACTTTTTGCCAGCATGTTCTGAAGATGATCTGAGGACATTTTGGTGAAAATCAGATAAACTGTCTAGGACAAGTTTGGAAAAGTAAGTTTTTCGAACGTGAAAAATCTTGAACCATAGATTTAAAAATTTTGGTGAGCATTCGAATCAGAGAAAAATTATAATTTTGTGTAAACTTTATAGTTCAAAAGTTGTTAGCATAAACATATGACCACATTTGAACTGCTGGTGGTGCTAGAGGGTTTGAGTTAGAGACCCAAACTTGCAATGGTTAATGCTGAGACTCTCCTCTATCTGTGTGCCAAATTTCATAACTTCCCCACAAGGGGTTCTATGTGCTGCCAAAGACTTTATGAGCGGAAGAAGAAGAAGAAGAAGAAGAAAAGTACCTTCTGTGCTTGGCCCCTAAATATAGCTGCAAGCAGCAATTAAGGGGCCAAGCACAACAGTGGCAGAATGAAGATCTAAGCATGGCAGGGAGGATCAGACCAAAGACAACAGAGTAATTTGGTGAAAATTGGACCAACAGATTAGGAGGAGTTTGAAAAAGTATGTTTTCAATGTAAATCAAAATGGCGTACAGGAAGTTCAGCTGATTATGGAGCATTGGAGCATTTTGGAAAATTCTAAATGACAGAAACATTTTCATGACGGAAAATCTCACATGGTGCAATCGAATCGGCTTAAGTAGGAATCAGAGGGAAAAATAATTTTGTTTCTTTCTAGCCCTTATAGTGGCACTAGAGGGATTGAGTTAGAGACTCCAAATTTGCTATGGTGACCGCTTAGTCTGTCCTCTGTATGTGTGCCAAATTTCATAACTTTCGTGCAAGCAGTTCTATGGGCTGCCGTAGACTTCTAGAGCGGAACAAGAAGAAGAACACCAACAATTACAAAAGGTGCCTACACAGTACGCACTTTCTGTGCTTGGCTGAGGAAAAAAAATAATTTGAGTTGTTCTCATGCTGTGCTCTCTCCTGTCAGTGTGGTGTGTTGTGTGTTTGGAAATCCAGATGCTCAGGTTCCATGTTTAGTCTTGTGTTGAGAGTGCTCATGGGGACACTTTTTCCCCGTTCCATGTATTATCATTTTTGAGTGAACAGTGACAGTATTATCCAAATTATTTCTGAGGTCTGTATTCAGCTGCATACTTTGTCTTTCTGTTCAAATATATATATACTTGTAACAGGGCTGACGAGACGTGCGGATCCAAATGCAAAGCTTTATTTCAGAGACGTGGTAAACAGGCAGGGTCAAAACACTGGCAAACAGGTATATGGTGGGCAAAACACAAGAATAGTCACCGGGCTAGCGTAGGTCACCGAACAGCAGACAGAGTCACAGGGGCAAGGCTAAAGGGAGGAATCCAGGAAAACAGGCGAAGATCAAAACCGGAGAAAACAGACAAGGCAAGGCAAAAACTAGGAAAACACGGAGACTCAGAAAGGGGTACAGGCTAAACAATACTCAGCAGAGAAATGTGGTTAGAGTGGGTGTTATATAGTGAATGAGGTAATTAGAAACAGCTGTGTGCAATCAGAGCAATCAGGTGTGTGCAATTCGTGCTGAGTGCAATCAGTGCAATGCATGATGGGAAATGTAGTCCGGGGTGATGTGCAACAGTGTGTAGTGCGATAGTCAATGAAATTAGAAGTTCATGGACCGGATTCGTGACAGAGCAGACAAGACTGAGCGTTCAGGGACAGCCTCCCTGGCTGGGTCGGGATTTTAATAAACATTTTAGAAGCTTAGTTAAAACAGATAAGTAAAAAGAATAAATAGTAGTTCATGTCCTGTGGTAGTACTCCTAATATTTCTCCCTGTCATTTCCTGTTTGGACTACTGCAAATTAACTATTAAAAGACATAACTCATAAGAATACTAGGTATTATTCTGAAAAAAATGATTTTGACAAACCTCCTCCATCACTTGCTGTTTTTGTGCTCTCGTTGAGATCAGAATCCTTCTCTTTGTCGTCTCCTCTGACTGAAGTTCCATCCACTGATGATCCATCATCCTCATGTGTGTCACAGATGAGAAATTCTTTGTGTTCTTTCTTGAGTATCTTCTCTATTCTTCTGAAAAACTCAGATCGCGATCCTGGGTTTGTTGCATCAAACTGTAGATGTCCTCCTCCACACTCCTTTATTAAATCATGAATAACATTATTCCATATCACAGAAGCCAGTTTGGATGTGCGTGGCTCTTCATCAGTAGTCAGCACTATAGTGTGTTTCAAGGCCTGATAACTGAAGAGGTTCAGCACATATTTCACTCTGTGTTTGTCGTTCTCACTGAAGTCCTTATACTGCAGTACGAGTACAAACACATGAGGTCCTGGAGCAGACAGAGACACACACTCTCTCACTCCCTGTGTGATCTGTTGATGTGAGAGATTCGGCTGGAGCAGGTGAGTGTTGATGACTGTGATGTGTCTCCCCTCCACCGCTCCTCTGATTTTCATACTGTGCTGCTGTAAATAATATGGAGCTTCTCTGTTAAACACTTCTGTACCCACTGTAATGTTTCCCACTCGGCTGTTTTCTGATCCATTATTTCCTAGCAGCACAATCCTCAGATCACTCACTGAAAAAGTGTACAGACAGAAACAAAGAAACACAGACGTTAAGTTTTCATGTTTTATGGGGACTTTCTATAGATGATATTTATACTGTTTTAATAAAAATCCCCCTAACTCTAAATACAACCTTCACAGAAACCTTCTGATTTTTACATTCTTTGAAAAAACAAAAACAAAAAATAAATGTCCCACAAGTTCAAATATTTTTGGTTTTACTATCCTGTGTGCTTAGTTCAGGTAAACCTTGTGTTGTGGGGACCACACACACAGACATTCTCCATAGGTGTAATGGTTTTGCTACTGTACAAACTGTATTTTATATCCCCTACGCTAACCCTACCCATAAACCTACCCCTCACACAAAACTACAGCCATTTTTAGATTTTCAAAACACTTCATTCTGGATGATTTATAAGCTGTTTTCCTCATGGGGACCAAAACATTTCCCCACAAAATTAAAATGTATTGGTATTACTATCCTTGTGGGGAACGTAGGAAATATCAGGTACACACACACACACAAATCATGAATAACATTATTCCATATCACAGAAGCCAGTTTGGATGTGCGTGGCTCTTCATCAGTAGTCAGCACTATAGTGTGTTTCAAGGCCTGATAACTGAAGAGGTTCAGCACATATTTCACTCTGTGTTTGTCGTTCTCACTGAAGTCCTTATACTGCAGTACGAGTACAAACACATGAGGTCCTGGAGCAGACAGAGACACACACTCTCTCACTCCCTGTGTGATCTGTTGATGTGAGAGATTCGGCTGGAGCAGGTGAGTGTTGATGACTGTGATGTGTCTCCCCTCCACCGCTCCTCTGATTTTCATACTGTGCTGCTGTAAATAATATGGAGCTTCTCTGTTAAACACTTCTGTACCCACTGTAATGTTTCCCACTCGGCTGTTTTCTGATCCATTATTTCCTAGCAGCACAATCCTCAGATCACTCACTGAAAAAGTGTACAGACAGAAACAAAGAAACACAGACGTTAAGTTTTCATGTTTTATGGGGACTTTCTATAGATGATATTTATACTGTTTTAATAAAAATCCCCCTAACTCTAAATACAACCTTCACAGAAACCTTCTGATTTTTACATTCTTTGAAAAAACAAAAACAAAAAATAAATGTCCCACAAGTTCAAATATTTTTGGTTTTACTATCCTGTGTGCTTAGTTCAGGTAAACCTTGTGTTGTGGGGACCACACACACAGACATTCTCCATAGGTGTAATGGTTTTGCTACTGTACAAACTGTATTTTATATCCCCTACGCTAACCCTACCCATAAACCTACCCCTCACACAAAACTACAGCCATTTTTAGATTTTCAAAACACTTCATTCTGGATGATTTATAAGCTGTTTTCCTCATGGGGACCAAAACATTTCCCCACAAAATTAAAATGTATTGGTATTACTATCCTTGTGGGGAACGTAGGAAATATCAGGTACACACACACACACACACACACACAAACACACACAAGTTAAATGCAAAAAAAACACTGCACAATCATCACTAACAAATCTCAGAAATATTATATGTTAGTCTATCACCAACAGGAGGTGGAATTGTGTGTCTGCTGTGTTTCACTGTTATGCTGATGATACTGAGCTCTATGTTTCTTCGCGACCCGACAAAACATACCAATTTGCAAAACTAACGGAATGCATAGTTGATATAAAAAACTGGATGACTAGTAATTTCTTACTGCTAAATTCTGAAAAAAACAGCGGTGTTAATTATCGGATCAAAATCTCTGCATATAATAACCTAGAACACTGTCTAAGACTCGATGGCTGCTCTGTCAATTCCTCGTCATCAGTTAGGAACCTATGTGTGCTAATTGATATCAATCTTTCATTTGAAAAACATGTTTATAGCATTTGTAAAACCGCATTTTTCCATATTAAAAATATATAAAAAATAGGTTCAGAAGACTTGGGATTTAGCCAAAAAGCTGCATGAACGGGTTTTATGGTACTTTATGGTGGATTTTGTTATTTTTGGAGACTGGTAGTGAAAAACAGTGTCCACCTTCATTTTATGAAAAAGAGCATCTTGGACATTTTGGGAGGAATTAATCCCTTTTTTTGTGTTTCACAGAGGCAGGACGTAGCCAGAATATTTTCATAGGGGTGGCAGAATGTACTTTAGCGGGAGTTTGAGCTGGAAATAAGTAGGCTCAGCACAGCCTTTAAGTAATTTAATTGATCTGGTTGCCATGAAAACCTTATGTGCTTACTGCTGCTCTATATTGTCATATAATGAATACTTGAATGCAAAGAGAGAGGTACTATTATAGAAAAGCTAAAATGTGATTTAAATGGTGACTGAACAAGCAACAGCTCATCCCCCAGAAGATGAACTGTCGAGATATGCCTGTGATTTGAAAATGACTCATTTGAAGTAGGTGCATGTCCTTGCTATGCTGATAACCTGATGAACATTTTTTGGAATGAATTCTTATGTAGAGAGAGTTTAGTGTTATATTTTACATTCTCTGATGTGTCCAGTAGCCTACAATAAACAATCGGTCATCTGGTTCAAGCTGGAGTTGGTCCATTAACAAGTCTGTCCTTAATAATTGTTTGAAAGATTTGATGCTTGAGAATCAGACTGTTTGGGCAAGTCGCATGTTAGTTTGTGTCACGAGGATAGCGAAACAGAAATATGCTGTTCCATTAAGCTTTTGTATTGCATCATGAACAATAATCTGCAAGACTCCTAAGTTTCAAAATTTCAGGATTTTTTTGCAGTAGTGTTTAAGATTCAGCAGCTTGGAGCATCTGCTAGAGTGTGGTGGCAAGTGGCTCCGAAGCTTGTTGGGCAGCTTTGAATGTTTAAGTGAACTTTGGTAGGAATAGCTGCAAACAGCGAGTTGAGCTATGGGTGAGGTAAATGCCGGAACAGCTATCTAGCAAGTAAGTGCATTTGTTTCTTGTTTCATTATTTAGTTAGTTGTCATTGTGTCATGATCCCAGCCTGTGTTCCCAGTTTTTTATGTGGACTCTTAAGTTGCTTCCTGTCTCACGTATGCATGGCCCACAACGGTGCTTCCAGTGCTTCCAAGTCTGACATGACTGCCACGCCAAAGTCTAGCTGTCAGGGCCTCCATGCGAGAGTCTACAAAGATTGCCTCTGGGTTTGGGAGCCATTGCCCATCAGTTGCACTTCCTGTCATGGCAACCGCTATCTTGTGTGTGTGGGCCACACACACTTCTCCAGATCCTCTCGAGGCAACAGTGCCACTGCAGCTCCTTCCAAGGCAGTGGCATCCGATACAGGTACTCCTGAATTCTCTGCCTGTCCTGTCGTGGCCATGGAAGCTGCCCCTGAACTCTCTGCCTGTTTTTACCTCTCTGTGCTCTCTATTCCAATTTTGCTTGCTCCAGCATGGTGTTCTTCTGCTTGGCCTGATTCACCGTGGTGGTTTACAGTTCTGCCTGATCTGCTCTGGTGGTCTTCAGCTCCACCTTGGAGGTACTTAGCTCCATCTGATCCACTGTGGTGGTTTCCAGTTTCATCAGCTACGACCTTGGTTCTCTAAAGCTCCGTCTGCTCCACTGTGGTGGTTTTCAGCTCCACCAGCTCTGCTGTGGTGGTCATCAGCTTCGCCATGGTGATCTTCTGTCCTATCTGCTTTGCTGTGATGGTCTTCTACTCCACCTGTGGTTGTCCCCAGCTTAGCTGAGATAGTCTTCAGCCATGTCAGCTCCACCCTGGCCAACTGCACTGCCGACTCCACCCTGGCCTCCTGCTGTGCTTTGGTTTCCAGGCCCATCTCACTGGCCTGGGTCCTCCATCTTTCCCCTGATCCTTCTTGAACGTTAGTCTTAAATTTCCCTGTGGTTGGTGCTCGTCGGGTGGTACGTGGAGATTTCAGCTTCCACCTAGATAAACCTCAGGCTGCAGACTTCCACACTCTGCTTATCTCATTTGACCTCGAGCGAGTGTCTACTGCACCTACTCACAAATCAGGTAAGCAGTTGGACTGTATTTACACACGTTACTGCTCCACTGATTATACACTAGTTATTCTTCTTCTTCAAGCCATTTCTCCTAATGTCGTACCTACACTTACTTTAACACACATCTCTTCACACCAGCATTTAAGTAGGCTCAAATAGCCCCACTGCTTAAGAAACCCACTCTAAGCCCAGCACTTTTAGAAAACTATAGACTGGTATCCCTTCTCCTATACATTGCAAAAACTCTTGAGTGAGTCATGTTCAACCAAGTGTCTGCCTTTCGTGCACAGAACAACCTCCTGAACAACCTATTATTAATTGAAGAATAGATTACCCAATGTAGTACTTATAATAATAGTTTAATTTATTCATAAAAAACGTGAAACCTTTATATATATATATATATATATATATATATATATATATATATATATCTAGTTTTTTGTTTATCTTTTATATAAAAAAATAAGAAAAAGTCAAATAAAAACAATAGGACAAATACAATAATATAATAAAGGTACAAATTAAATTAACTGCCACACAGAGGTATGTTTGACCGTAGCTTTCAAGTAAGAAATACTACAATAATGGAATAATCAAATCTAAAATAAATAAATACAACACTGTGTAGTCTTCACTGCATAGACTGAATATACACTGATTATTTTTAAAGCTATAAAGTGATTTAGAAAGAGCAGTGAGTGATTTTCTCTTTTCCATTGTTGTTTGATTAACACCAAATGATACCGATGGTTGCAGGGATACTAGACTGCTGTCACTTTAAGAGCTGCCCGGACTCAAAATAATGATAAACATCCAAATTCTTCTCAATTGTTTATGTTCACTTAAGACATTACCGACTGTGTTTACAAGAATTCTCATCAAAACGGACATAATGTTGTGTGTATTTCATTGTTCAAGCACAATAAGAAAGATGAGAAACAGAACTGAATAATTCTGAATTGATTAAAAATACAGCTTTTATTAAAATGCTGTAATTTTTAAAGTACCAGTACTAATATAAGGTATTGCAATACTTTTTTAGCACCAGTATATCATACAACACTACAATCCACCTGTCGTCACTAGGATGTCATTCAGAAACATGGCTTTTCCTATCACTGCTACAGGCTGATGACATACAACTCTACCTCTCATTCCAGCCAGATGATACGACAGAAGCTGCTTACATCTCAGCATGTCTAACAGACATTTCTTGCTGAAGGGCCATCACCTTCAACTCAGCATTGCCAAGACAGAACTGATTGTGGTTTTGGCCAACCCAACACTTCATCACAATTTCACCATCCAGCTAGGTACATCAACCATAACTCCTTCCAGGACATCCAGGAGCCTGGAAGGAGCTTCACAGACCACATTGCTAAAACTGCCCGGTCCTGCAGATTTGTTTGTACAACATTAGAAAGATCAGGCCCCTTCTATCGGAACATACTACACAACTCCTTTTTCAAGCTCTTGTTCTGTCCAGGCTAGACTAATGTAATGCTCTCTTGGCAGGTATTCCAGCATGTACAGTATTATCAAACCTCTGCAACTGATCCAGAATGCGGCAGTGAGAGTGGTCTTCAACAAGCCAAAGATCATCTAACTTAACCTGAGCAGAGAAATGCCCAAAGACACTTGATTCCATAATACTGGCACTTTCTATTTTATCTACTTATTTCTATTTATTAGGGATGCAACAATACCACTTTTTTCCAAAGTGAGTCCAATACCAATGCTTTCATTTTTGGTACATGCCGATACTAGCAGTTGTAATATTGGGTACAGAAACCAAAAAATATGAATTATGTTTGTTGGCTCATAATGCAATTAATGTCAAGCAAGCAACACATTGTGTATTTGTGCAGAATGAGACAGACACCTGTAGCCTAATGCATTTCACACAGACTGCTAGTTTCACTTTCACTTTAAATAAAGTTGTGTATGCTTGTCATTTCAAATAAATGTTGTTGACGGTGAATGCCCCTGTAATTTTTGTTTGTTTTATATTTACGATTTAGTTTTAATCCAAGTGATGCATATGCTAAGTGAGCGAAGAGCAATCAAGATCATGCAACAGAAGTGGGCGCACTCTCTCTCTTTTCTTACCAGCAAGTAACTAGGAAGTTTAGCTCTGTTTTAATTTACGTTGCATTGTACATTTTCACTGTGAATCATAAATATTTGAAAAATATTTGTAAATGCATTTGGCTCAAATTGGGATGTGAATACTCTATGAATAAGAAAATAGTATGATAACAACATATGTATTTGAAGCAAAAAATTAGCAGCATATTGAACTGCATTCATTGAAAAAATGGCAGTTTTTGCATTTTAATGCATTGTATTTTCAAGGCTTGCATTTTGGGAGGGCTGTAAAACATGCTGCAACATGGTTGTATATCGAAGCTGCAAAAAGTAAAGATTGCACAGAAGTTTACATTATTAGATTATTATTATTATTATTATTAGATTACTCCAAAGTCCATTTCCAAGATATTTTGTTTATTTAAAAACACCACCTACAATATTTAACGGTCAAAATTTTGACCATTTGATTTTGTTTTATAAATTCACTTAAAAAAATTTCAGTGGTTCAAATTCAGTTGAATGTTCAACTTTACAAATCTGGGAACTGCAGGTAAAGCAGAAGTGTACCGATGCTGATCACCATCTGCTGTTAGTCGCTCACCAGCAGATGGTGCAAGAGGATGTTGACGAAAGCCAAAGCACAAGTAAAGGGAGTCATTCACAAAAAAACAAAATGAAAAAACTTACCAACATGAACTAAGTAGTTATATGGTTATTAGGGCCAGTATATACATGCTGATTAAGACACAAAAGTACAGAACATCTGAGGAAAACGTATATTTTGCTCTCCGTTGCTTTGCTTTGCTTTATTTAGATTTTCCCGGCCTCTCTGCCCTCCTCAGCTGAGGTGCCCATCTCGGCCGGACTGTTGAATATTGTAGGTGGAATTTTTAATCAAACTGAATATTTTGGAAATGAACTAAGCCATATGTAAGTCGCTTTGGATAAAAGCACCTAAATGACTAAATGTAAATGTAACTGGTCAACATTGATGACAGATTTTTTTATAATGAAGTTGTCTGTGAAATGTTTCCTTTTGAAATTTTCACAACTTAAATATATGTATGACACTGAAGCTTCTAAGCGTGTCGAGAACGCTACACAATCTCCAGCAAAGGCGTGTATTGGTTTCACAGAGTCACTTTCTGTCCAATCACGTGCGGGATTCACTTTGCGTGTCAAGTAAGCTTTCATTCAGACTTATTCAATTACATTTTTAAATGGCCAGTCATAGACGTAATATGAAGGATACAAGTTATCTCAGGAACATAAAATTCCATACGCAATTCATATTTGAGTACATTATTCTTCTATGACATCATATTAATATTCATACTTTTGTGTGAGTGTATGTGTCTGTGTGTTGAATCTCTCCTCTGAATGTATTTACCCATTAACCTGTGGCATTAAATGGCAGTATGAATATCAATAATATGATATCCATCCTAAATAGTGAGATTAAAATAAGTGTGTCCCAGAGCATAGCTCACCAGAGCCCTGGATGGTATGGATCCGTGCACACTCTATGGCTAATACTACCCACAAACCATTGCGCTTTGGAGAAGCATTCGGTTCAGAACTACAAACACGAATAAAAAGTGTTAAAAAACATGGCGGATGAGCGCGACCGACGGTTCAGTAGAACTTGTTTGTTGCTGCCGTGTGTTTTGAGTTTGAGCTCCGTCAAGTTAATTCTTTGTCGTCTAAATTATTATCTTAAAATCAATTTTATACACCATAATTTTCGTTTCTATAACGTGTGAATATATCCCCTATCGTATTCTACAACAAAAACAATCAGAGCGCCTTGTTATACTAGTTTTATTTTTGACTCCCCGAGTCCGCTATTAGCATATAGCCCGCTAGCATCGCCAGCGTGGTTGCCGCTAATCTCGCTTACATTACTAATACACTATTCACTGTTACTTGCTTTAATGGCGGATGTGTGTCTACCTTTGAGTGCAGGTGAGGACACGTTCGAGCTGCATTCGGTGCAGCTCGAGCTGGAGGCTGTGGAGAAGCAGATCCGTGACCTGGTGACAAAGCAGACCCAGCCGAGAGAGAGGAGAGCCGCGCTGGAAACATCCCAGGCTGACGCTCACAAGTCCGAGGTAAGTATACAGCGTGCTGCTAATTCTCCCACCACCTCTACTCCGTGTGTTTCTCTCCACAGGCCACGGAAGACGCGAGCCAGGCCCCCGGCGACGACCTCTCCCCCTCCGCCGCCTCCGATCTTCGAGACCTCCACCCGGAACCGCTTCGCTCCCCTCCGCGAGACGGAACGCAACGCTGTGATCATCGGAGACTCCATCGTCCGGCACGTCCGTGCTCAGTTCGCTGAAGGTAAAGTGCACACTCACTGTTTCCCTGGTGCTCGTGTTCTCGATGTTTCTGCGCAGATACCCGCGATCCTGAAGGGTGACGAGAGCCCCGGAGCGGATTTAGAAAAAGACATTAAAATAAAAATAAATTAAAATAATAACGTTGGTCTAGATAACCGATATCTGATTTAGTTTGTTTAAAAATGTTTGTGAGATCTAGCCTTTTACAGGTCATTAGTTTGTTTCTGCAGTGAAACAATCATTTAATACACTAAACGAAGTAGACCGTTGCCTACTGTTGGCTATATTTCATCAATACTTCATAAATCACTGAGGAGATGTTGCTGCATAATGCTTCTTTGATTGAAATCAAAATCAAAAAGAAAAACAATGAAAGGCGAGAACTGCCTCGAGCCCTTGTCTCTTTAATCGGATCGTGATTTCAGCCGAGGGGGCTATTTTTCCTAGTGCTATAAGAAAACTAGGAGACCTATTCCTCCAGGCAATTTCACCATATATACACACAAGTCACTTCAAAAAAGAAAGAAAGTGGCACTGAACACAAAGAAGAAACGGCAGTTAAAGAAGCACAGTGAAAAATCATTTTAATAAAACCAAGTAACCCATTGCCTACTGTTGGCTAATGTTTCATAAATACTTCATCAATCCTTGAGGAAAAGTTGCTGCATATTTTTGTACATAATTTGATTCTTACCTGAACCTGACGCCATTTCAACACCTACACCTTGAAATCAAAATCGAAAGAAAAGCGCTCAAAGAAGAGAGACCCTCATCAGTGCCCCGCCTGCAGAGGCTGAAGATAAGAAATAATGTATTCCAGTTCTGTCCGTGTCGTCCATTATTTGTCCCTCTTTTAAACCAGAAGTGAAATACGAAAGATGCAGTTTCTTCTTTAACTGTTCTTTAACAAACTGGAGTTCGTGAGGTGCCGAAGATGCTACGCGAACAAAAATGCTCAGTTTTGACATTTAGTTAATTCTACCCCAACTTAAAGTAGTCTAGCATTAAAGTTGCATGCAAAATGCCGCTTCTAGTATAAAAACAGGAACATGGGAGTACCGTAAACGGTCAAATACGTGACATCCACCAAATTACCTCATCTTTTGCGGACAAAACTGACTGCATTCATACAAGCAGCGTGAATATGATAGGATGCCCGCTGAGTAGGCTATTCTGCTTTAGCAAATCAAACTGCTGTTCAATGTATCTTTAAATGTTTAAAATATGAGCATGAGAATGCAATTTTTCCTGGATATCCAAACGACTGCGAATATTGATGCTATACAATAGTTGAAAAAAAATCGTAATATTAAGTGAACATTTTACATTTAAAATGTAGCCTACATTTTAAAACTGGATAGCTGGCCAATCACAGCACACCTTGCTTTTCAGACCGATGAGCTTTGTAAAAATCGACGCGTTTCAGAAAGACGGGGCATAGAGGAGAAACAATAATGTACAGTATGTGGAAAATAATGTTTTTTTAACCTTAAACCACATAAACACATTGCATTACACCAAATACACAAAATAATGTTCTTTTTAGCAACGTCATATGACCCTTTTAAGCCCAGTCCCATTAAAATACATATCAATGCTCACAATTAAAAATTTTTTTGCGTGCTATTTATACACAGAAACTGCCTTTGGCTTGCATACGATACGCACTGTGTTGGCATGCATATACAGCACCTACCCCACACCCCTAAACTTAACCATTGCTTATCATATGCACGCCAAAGCCAATTTCTGCATATAAATAGTACGCCAAATAGAAAATCGTGCCATTGAAATGCATGTTCATGAGATTGTTACCATTTATTGCTTTATTATATTACTAATTTTCTTATTGGAGGATTTTAAGAATGTCATAAAATGTGGCATACAATCAATAAGGCTAGAAAAAATTTGCCTCTAAGGTAAAAATGCACCTGTAAATGAATTTAAGGGGGCAAATATTGTCCCATAATGCATATGGTGTGACTACGGTCTAAGTGGAAGAGAGGGGGTATGCTGCTGTAAAACGTTTAAGAACCACTGGTTCTGACGAATACAATAAGCACATATATATATTGTATTTATTTTTTTAATTAGTAATTTATATAGTGATTTAGTAATTGGTTGACAGATTCTTTTTCAGGTAGTCTACTGCATGACTTCTAGGCTGTTCCAGCCCAGGTCTGTTGACCGCATTACAGTTCTATATATAATTTCAATTGTGAAAAGCGCTTTACAGATAAATCTGAATTAAATTTTTTCTTTTCTGCAAGAAAAAATACCTTTTCTTATAACTATTAATGTAACAATATAGCTGATTTGATCATTTAGGAAGAAAATTATATCTCCTGCAAGAGAATTTTGCAGCATGTACGTGAAAAAAAGCTGTCACACGACTTAGCTGACCACGATCTCACAATTAATCTTTCTATACTGCACAATTAATCTTTTACTTACATCGTTATAATAAGATGGTTCTCAAGCTTGCAGAACTGAGCAATGGACAAGAACTCCGGCATTTTAAGCGTCGAGTGGATTCTAACTTAAACGCCTCTCATTGGTCATTGCGTTCAATAATTCAACAGACATGTCTGTGATTGGCTACATTACTCAACGCTGCAAAAACATGATGTAAATTGAAACCTGTTACGCTCTCCTGAGCGCAAAACAAATACACACTGGATAGATTGCCAAATCTGTTTCGCCAATATTATTATTACAGCTTCAACTGAGGGTGTTCACTCCTGTAAAACCGGGCCTGAAGGGATTATATTTGGAGATCCTTGGCATCAAACTGTTGGGAAGCTCGTTCTCTATCTCTTATACACACAAAGACATTTAATGCTAGCGACTTTATCAATAAAATAGTTTCAGGAAAGCCGGTCATACGCAAATAATTCACATGCGCTTTCTTCCGCTATCTCTTCAATAGTCAAGTCGAGCTTTAATTCAATTCAAGTTTATTTGTATAGCTCTTTTCAAGATGCAAAAAGTTGAACTTTATTGTCATTCTGCTACATGTGTGGACATATAGTGGAATGAAATGTAGAACCACAGTACATAATAATTTACAAATGCATCGTCGCTGGGGTCAGAGAGTCTTTGCTGTCACTGAAGTGTTTGTTGATATATTTTTTTTTGAGCATTTTGTTGTTTTGCCTTCTTGATGCCACGAGACAGACTGGCTCTTGTTGTTTTGAGAGCTGCCTTATCTCCTGATCTAAATGCCTCATCTTGGATTTTTACCAGTCCACGAACTTCTGCTGTCATCCATGGCTTCTAGTTGGTACCTGTGGTGATGGTCTTGGTGACTGTCACATCATCTAGTCACTGTTTCGGTGTACTCTTGCCGATCTGTGTGGTCGTTGTAAGTGGCCGCCTGTTTGAACATGTTCCAGTCTGTGTGCTGAAAGCAGTCCTGCAGTGCTGAGGTAGCATCGTCTGGCTATACTGTGATCTGCTTTTGAACCGGTTTGGCAAGTTTGAGCAGTGGTTTGTATGCTGGACTTAGCCTAACAGAGATGTGATCAGTGATGGATCTCTATAACACAAGAGTGTGCGGTTTATCTCAGATGCACGTGAAAAGTTGTGTTCATTACTACTGCAACAGTTTCAGAATCATCATCGGTTCAGTTCGATTAATATTAAAATAAAGTGATACATGATTACGACAGCCAGCGCTCTGATGCTGCTGTAATGTTGTTGGTTCACAAAATCAAAATTGTGTAATTGTCTGTTGAACATACTAACTGCTGTTGTCAAAAGGAAACTTACACCCTTGCTTCAAAGACAATGAGCCAGAGTTAGCTGAAGTCTCTTTGGGTTAAAGTGTTTACAAATGAATCTGTATTTCAGCTGGTAAAATACTGTAAAATACCCTGATCTATGATGATTCTAAACCACTGAACCACATAAACTGTTGAAAAGCAATTGTTTTTTCTTTAAAAAAAAGCTTTGTTCTCACCCAAATACAACATTTTTTGACAAATTAATTTAAAAATTACATGGTTTTTAATTTGACATTGTTTCTATGCTAAACCTCAGGAGCTCCGGTATCAAGTTGATT